GACCCGCTGGCTTTGGGCCTCAGGGGCTGTTGGGGACATACGGGAACGTGTCCCACACACCAACGCCCGTGTCACGCTTGGGTGTACCTGTCCCTCTGTTTTTAGAGAGAGAAGAGAGAAAAAGGGTCTTGGAGCCCGTCCGGCGGGGAAGAGCCGGTGGTGCTGAGGGAGCCGGACAGGTGGGAAGGGCATCCAAAGGCGACTATGAACCTGTCCCGTTGCGATGTGCAGAGGGGAGCAGGGGACAGCACAGGCACGGACTAACACCGCAGCACGCTGCCTTCCCTCCCGGAGCCCTGATTCTGCAGGAGGCACGGCCCAGGATCCACACACAGCCCCGCAGGGGCTATCCTGGTGCTACTTTCCTACTGAGGAAGGAAGCAAACAAACAGCCAAGACCAGCTGCACAGAGATTAGTCCTTTGATTTGCTGCAGGTGACTTGCTCTGCTTATCACAGCTTATCACAGCTGTGGGTTTTGTTTTTTTTCCATGGTTTTTGCGGAGGTTGACCGGTACAAGTATGAAGCTGGGCTTGCTTCAGCTCTGTGCACAGTAGTGGCTTCCTGGCCAGCAGTCCAGACACAGCGATAATATGATCTGTGAAGAACAGTGAGTGCTTCAAAGTCAGACGCAGCAGTTCGAAGTCATGTCCGTTCCCATGTTTTGTAGTCTCCTTAACCACAGTGCCGAAAACAAGCCACGAAAGGAAGCCATGGTTCGTATGGGCTCTGAAAGATCTCAGGTTACCAGGGGGATAAGTAGCATTTTTACTAATAGGTAAGCTGGAGCAAAGGGCACAAGGAGTCAGATTAATGATTCCTAAGCTTACAGGGACAGTCTGGGAGAGGCCAGGCTAGAGCCTGCACTGCTTGATGCCCAGGTCAGGATTGAGCTGCGGTCCTGGCAGGGAAGTGAGCAGCCAGCTGGGCTCAGGCAGGGTGAGCGAGCAGTGCTGAGGTCCGAGGGCTACTCTGGCAGCTGCCCCGCGCCTCTTTTGTAGCTGTGCTGATTTCAGGTGAGCAGGGAGGAGGGTTGGTGAGGGCTACTCTGGCAGCTGCCCCACGCCTCTTTTGTAGCTGTGTTGATTTCAGGTGAGCAGGGAGGAGGGTTGGTGCAGCCCTGTGGCTAGGAGCAGTGTTGCTGTGTCTCTGGTGAGTTCTGCAGCTTGGCAGGGGTTAGGAAGAGAGGGGAGTTGCACGTACCTGTATCTCTACCTGGGCTGTGCTTGCAGAGCCTGCCTGCGTCTCATAGCCTGGGAATGATTAAATAGTGTCTTTCTGGTGGCAACAGGTCAGATCCTGTGTTCTTGACGTTTAGGTTTCTAACATGGCGATAAAGATGTTCTCCGGGGTGCAGATGAGGCAGTGCAGCTGAACCAGCGATCGGGTCCCTGCTGAAAAGGACCCGCCCTGCTCCCGCTTCCTCCCTCCTCTGCGTTCAGCAGCACGTGCTCCTGCTCTGTGTTTGCCTTGGGCTCACTCCAGGGCTTCTCTGATTCCCTGGGGAGGTAGCAGCCAGGTTCCTTTTGGACGGAAGGTTAAATGGACAGAAAACTAACCCAGCAAAAGAAGTTACTTTAGGGAGTAGCGAGTGGAATTGGCTCAGCACGGGACCATTTGCGCTACAGAGCTGTCACAAGAGATGAAGCAGGAGGATGGGAATGGCAGTGGGGAAGGTCCGCATGTTCCCTTTTGGCAGAAGTGAGCCATGAGGTTCTCTCACTTTTGTCCCCCAAATACGCTTGCGGTTGGCAGGAGCAGAGCAGCAGTTTGGGAAGCCTGCACCGATCGTTGGTCACTGAGGCTGTGCGGCTGCTTCTCCGGGCTGGGCGGCTCATGCTGGGTGCTTGTGACCCACAGAGGTGGGTTTGCTGTGGGTACCTAGGCAGGCAAGATGCTTACTGTTGTAATGAGGTTGTTTGATCTTGCAAGATCCCAATCCAGAGGCGATCTGACTTGCAAATCAGGGAGTGGGTGTCATTTGCAAATTCCCTGCAGCAGGGCACGGTGCTGTTGGGACGTGAAATGTGACTTGTGTGAAGGTATGAAATGAGCCTTCCAGCCCCCGCCTCCCATCAACCTGCCTTTCCTCCTTCAATCCCCCACGCTAATTGTCTGCTCTGTTACAGGTCTTGATGTCAGCCTGTGATTTTTGCCTGTAAATTACTGGGTTTGAAGGCGAGTTCAGATTGAGATCAGCTGTGAATTTCAAGGCTAGGAGCTGTTCTGGAGCGATCTCATGGTGAACGCTTTTTTTTTTTTTTTTTCCCCCTAGAATAAGAGAGCCTGTTCTGGCTTAGTTGGATCCATTATCAAGGAGATTAAATAATACCAAGTGTCCTTTTATCTGCTCTTCAGAAACAGCTTTTTCCAGAGCAGCAGGGTACAGACCGTGCATGCATGCTGGTGTGCAACAGTCAGCGTTGTTTACGTTGCCTCTGCAGTTATGTCTGGGAGATGAATAACAGCTTTTTGCTAATGGATCTCGTGTCAGCAGGGGTGATTTACCCAGGAAGGCTGCAGTGCGTTAGTTGCTATGACTCAGGCTCACTCAGCCTTGAACTGATTCGTTTATTGGTTTATAAATTAAACTGCAGATGCTGCATCCCATCAGTGCGGGCATGCTGAGGATCCTGAAAGGGGTTCTTCTTATCATGTTGTCTCAGAAATGTTTAAATTACTGCCTCGGGAATGAAGGCATGCAGGTTGTAGCCCCAGCTGTTACAGCAGTGACTCCAGTCGAGCTGCCTTGGAGCCTGTCGAAATCACCGTGCGACTCTGGTGAGGTATCAGGCCTCCTGGGGGCATCGCCAGAAGCTCACGAGTGGTTTGTGCCTGTTGGACTGTCCCCATCCTGCATCTTCATTTTCTGAGCGGGGAGCAAGTCCCTCAAGTTTCTTGTAGGGAATAAAATGATGTCCACAAGATCTTGGTGAGCATCACGGGGAAATAGATGCTGGCTGCTCCCGTGCTGGGAGGATCGGTGCTCCTCCTGTTGTGGGGAGCAGAGAGGCAGCAGGAACCAGTGTGGACCAGGGCAGGGATCTGCAGATCTGTGCTGGTCCCTGTTGATCTGCATTGAAAAATTATTTAGAAGTGAAAAAGATGTTTTTCTGAACAGGTAACTCTCCCTTGTCCCAAGAGCCAACAGACAGCTGGGCTGGTTTTTATCTCAGGACTCTTGCCCAAAAATGTAGCATCTGCCCCTATGCTGTCCTGGGGTGAAGTGTTTTGTTTTGGGTCCTTTTGAGGTTCAGCTTCAGCCTGCTGGAGGGTGGGGACAGCGCTGGTGTGGCTCTCCCGGAGGATACAGTAGAGGAATTTACCTGTCTGGGGCAGGGGCTTCAGCTTGCTCTGGGTAGGTTGTGTTTGAACCACAGGAGCTCTTTGGAAAGAGCCCAAGGTGCAAGATAATTCAGATCTAAGGCTCAAATGTGTCGGGTGACGTCCAGTTACCTGGTGTTTCCTATTCACTAAAGGCACACAGGGCGCTTATAGCAGCTCAGCTCCTCTTTGCATGTCTGCATTAAGTGTTCCCAGATGGGAGAGCAAAGCCAGGAAGGATTTTCTGTACTGAAGATCTCTGTATTACAGGAACCGCAGACGTTGCAGGTTCAATGCTGGTGTCGTGGTTTTAGAAGAGCCACGACACAGCCTCGTGTTAAAACTTCGTGGGCTGAGGCAAGGACAGGGAGGGTTCACGCACCCCTAACGCCCACGGGCAAGAACCCGCCACGACTTGGGAAAACAAAAAAACCCCAATTGAATTTATTAACTATTTACAATCAAAACCAAGGCAAGATAATGAGAGAGAGAACTACGTCTTATAAAGGCACTTCTCCCCCACCCCTCCCTTCTTCCCTGGCCCAAAAGTTTTGTTCCTAGTTTCTGTCCTTTCTTCCCCCCGGCGGCACAGGGGCAGGAATGGGGATTGCAGTCAGTGCATATTGTCTCTGCCACTTCTTCCTCCTCAGAGGAGGGCTCCTCACAGCCTTTCCCTGCTCCAGCGTGGCGTCCCTCTCACAGGAGAGTCCTTCACAAACTGCTCCAACGTGAGTCCTTCCCACACGGGGTCACAGTCCTCCAACAACTGCTCTGCTCCGGCGTGGGTTTCTTCAAAATTCCCACTCCCCTTCAGGCACAGCTACGCCTTCCAGCATGGAGCCCTCCATGGCTGCATCTTCTCACAGACGGCTCGAGGGATAAACGGGCATCACCAATGAGTTCTCCATGCTGCAGGGAATCTCTGTTCCAGGGCACCTCCTCCCTCCCCTTTCTCCTCACTGACCGGCGTGTCTGCGTAGCTGTCTCTCTCCCATCCTGCTCCTCTCTCTGCCGCAGGTTCTTTCACCGGCTCCTGAGAAAACTGGCTCTCAGGCGAGCCGTGGCGGAGGCTGGGGCTGCGGCGGGCCAGGTTGCAGAAGAGGCCAGGCAGGAGCTGGATGGTTGGGCTGATCCGCCTGGGGCCGTGCCTGCCCCCCCGTGTTCTGTGCCCCCTCTTCACTCCATCATTCGCAGAGGTGCCGATGTGCTCAGCCCTGGCATGGGGTGGGTCCAACCTGGAGCTGGGACACTTCCAGCAGTTTCTCACAGGGTCAGCTTGGTCGTACTCCTTCCCCCACTCCCGTGGCTACTAAAACCTTGGAGCCGGGGGTGGGGGTGAACTCTTAGCAGTCACTTACAGGAGCCATGACTGTGGGCCCTCCCCTGCTACCAACCAAACCCACCACACAAACCTCAACAGCTGGTAAAACCGCTGATGAGCCCCCAAATAGGGATGGTGCTGCCTGATCCAGTGTCTCACCCGGGATGGAGTCCAGTTTGGGGTGGTTCCTGCCTGCAGGTTATCTCTGTAGCTGGGTGTGAGCTCTCTAGTGAAGGTCAGAATTCACATATATATATATTTGTATAAATGTTGCTTTTCAGTGGCTCTGTGAGCTCTATTCATTTCTGTTCTCAGCAGTGGTTGGTTTCCGTGGCGGAGGCAGAGCGACGGCAGGATGTGTGAAGGGCCATCCAGGATTTCTGGACCCATTCCTCCAGACCCTACACTCTTCCCACACTTTTACAAACGCCCTTTCTCAGGTAAGTCCTTGATGCTTGTTACGGCTGTGTGGTTTTGTATTTTGGCGTGACGCAGGTTCCGCGTTTGATATCTTTATTCTTTGGCCTCCTCAATGGTCTCCACCCATGCTGATCCGGGTGCTTCTGCTGCCTCGTGGATGGTGATCCTAAAGGTGGTCTGTACAGGTGGTCGAAAAATGGGAAAACAAGGCAGAGGTGGAGAGGGGGTCTTCAGCATTGTTTGTAGGCTGTGGGTGAAGAAAACCATGACTTGGGATCATTTCCTGATAATCTCCTTCTCTGTCTTTGTAGCTCGAGGGAGGCTGGAAGGGAATGCTCAGAAGCTGGATTTTACCTCTGGCTCCCCCGACCCAGTTCCCAGCCCCCACCAGGCTTTGTGCAGCACCCGCCAGATCCAGCCAGCCCCTCGCATTCGCCCCAGCGGAAAGGACTTCCTAGAGAAGGGACAGAAGGGGACGCTCGGTCTCTTGCTGCAGCTTGAAGGGATCTCCCTTGACGGGGGGCTGCCAATCAAGAGTAAGTGCAGCTGAGTCGCTGCCAGCCTCGGTTGCGTTTGGGGACAGGGATGAAGCGTTGGGGATTTGGGTGGATTCCTCAGCTGCACTGCCTGAGGAGAGTTGAGCTTTGTGGGGCCAGTCACCCCATCTGTTTGGCCTGGCAGTGGTGTCCCCGGGCCGATGCCCGTGCTGGGGTGGGCACTGCTGCGGCCCCTCTGACTCCAGCCTGGCCCCGGTCTGCAGTGGGAAGAGGGACTGTAAAAATGATGCTGTTTAATGTGGACTTGAGGAACTAGTCATGGATGAGAGTTGCTGCCCTTCTAGTTGGCTGTCTCTGAATATAACCAGTATCTTTATAGTTGAACTTAAAGATGGATGAAGGGAAATCTTGATGTGTAGCCTGGGGAATTCCATGTTAGTGACACCAGGCAGGATTTGGTACGACTGTATATGTGGATAATGAGGACATCTTTGCAAAAGATGTTCCCTTCTCCAGGAGGGTCACCCAGAGTACATTCCAAGGTCCAGAAAGGAGATAAGCTAGGCAGGCTGTCACTTGGTTGGCCTCACGTGCTGGCGTTGTCCCTTGCTCTGCCCGGTGCCAGCGCGGTGGATGCCAGCTGGTGGCTGCCACAGCTGCTGTGCCAAAGCAGGAGGGGAAAGGAAGAAGGTCTGCGAGTGTCAGCTGGGATCTTCCCTGTCTTGGGCAGCCCAAGGAAGGATCATTTTTGATTTGAAAACAGGAAACATGCTCCATAGTCTTATGTCCCCTTGAATGCGGGACAGTGGCAATGAGCCACACTCCCTCAGAGCCAGGGTGTCTGTAAACACAGCAATGTGCTCAGCCCTGTGCTGGCGGTCAGCTGGGCGCTG